GTCATAGTCAACTTGATTTACGAGATAAAAAATAAATTTATTTTTTTTCAATGGTAATCATAGTTGGCTGTGGACCTTTTAAAATCCTTATTTTTTCTGAATTTAACGATATAACTGTCTGTATGTTTTTCTCCTTTTGTTGGCGTAAAACTTCAAAAGAAAAATGTAAAAGTTACCCATACAAAGATTCAGAAAATGGTCACTCTGTATATATTGATTTACTAGTGGAAGGCTCACATAAGATTTTTTCTTACTATCGGATTTTTAGTTAAATGCTTTTTGAAACAGTTTCACCTAACAGCATGCAAAGGTAATTTATAACTTAAAGAATATATTTAGAACAATACAGTCAGCAATGTTTGAATTAAGTTGGTCATATAAACTACTCATATTGTCTTTGTAAGTACGCGTATTTTTCCTCCAACTCATATAATTTAAGTGTTAAAATGATGTATTTTTCTATATGTACGGATAAAATAACACAACGCAAGTTTTCAAGCAATTATTTGATAATTTTTGGTGATTGTCACTTTTTATAGCTATTTAATTGAGCGTCATTTAATGATTTAATAAATCAGAAAGTAGGTATATTGGTTTTGACGTGAGGTTATTATAAGATCTTCGTATCCCTAGGGTTTCCCAAACTCACCAATAATGGAACACTTTACAAACCCACAAATTTTAACGGAACACTTGATTTATTTTTGAGTTGATTTCTAGTAAACTTTATTTTAACACCTAAAAAAAAGGTCCTCACATTTTTTAAAAGTAACGTTTTTCCATTTTATCGAATCTTAAAAAAAAGTATAAAGTAACGGGCATGTCAAGCAAATGTTTTCGCAGCCCACTAGTTCAGATTCATACTTATAGTAACGGCCAGGCGGTTAAAATCCACTAAACCTAAAGGCTAAAAACTGGAAAGACAAGTTTTGTATTGTGAAGTTAATTATGAAGAAAGATCAAAAAGAAATTAACTTCACCAAGGCAATTGTCATTTTAGAGTTCAAAGCCATGTTAGACTTAGACAAATAGGTAAATAACAAATTAAGTACGTATACATTTTTAAACAATTATTCTAAAATTTGGTTTCAGCTCATATCTTTTAGCGTAGTGACATGTAGCGTAGTATGAAATCACATAGTCTTGTTCAAAATGCAGTGTTAGATGGCTTCCGGATAACTCGACGGCTTATCATTGGTCATTTTTGTCAGAGAAGCAGTCTTGTATCTCGAATTTGTCTTATTTTTAAAATTAATTTATGAGGTCAAGTTTGTTAGTTGCTGAATGGTGAATTAAGAGATACGTCTTAGTTTAACAAAATACGAGGGCAATGCGGTTTAAAAAGTATAATTAACTACATGGGAATTCTGGTGTCGTTACTGCTTAAAATTTTTGCTTTCATATAGATAATTTATGATTTGTGACAGTGTCTTATTACCGTTTGTCTTCTAGCTTTTAACGTAATAATTTTTTAGACTCTATATTATTTAACTTTTCTTCAAATGTTTTTCTATTACAGGGTATTGATGCATTCCTTGCAAAAGTCTACAATGAAACCAAGTTTTCATAAATGTTATTAACATTCCTTCAGCTCTTTCTGCACCCTTTTTACTTTCGAAAGTACATTAAAAATTATTAATAAATATGCAATAACTGTTATATGTTTTACTACCGAAACTTGAATTTCATACGTAGGTACCAGTGATGCGGGCGAATGAAGTTCCCGAATAATTAATTACAAAGTAAATTACTGTATCTGTTAAAGTATTAATTAAAAAAATTATATTTTTTAATATTGCGGAAACCCCTTGGAATATTTTAATGAAATTTTGTGCATGTACAGATTTGGAGATTTTATGAGGCAAATTTTATACAACGGCTTTTTCGAAATTATAGCGCTAACGAAACAGGTAAATTTTTCAAGTGCTTCTATGCATTAGGAACAGCGTCTTCTTATTCACTTGGCGCAATAAAAGGTTCCACATTAACCTGAGGCAGCGATGGGAACATAAACGCAAGAAATACTGCTAAATACGAATTTAGACCTTAATTCTAAGCGATTGTTTTCAACAGTATTAAATATGTAAATATTTGAATTATAACTTGAATATTGTCACCACGCTAAGAGCTTGACTGAGTGATGAAAAAAGGCACTTCAGAGCTAATGCCCCATTCGATTTTGAGACATTTAGCTGCAATTAAATATTACTTTATGTATCATGTACACGCAAAAAACGACACTTAGAGCTAAACCACAATTTAAAAAAGGAGCCTCTGTAAGCAAAAAATGATATTCGTTGAAAAATTCGGGTACTCGGCCTTAAATGCACTGATAATATTTTGCTTGGAAAATCGTCAATTCGGCATTAAAGTCGTCATAAATGTCAACTTTTCCAACTAATATTAACTTCTCAAAGATTGTTTCTTCAAAAGGTTGCACACTCTCCTAGTTCCAGCTCGTTTTACTACTTGCTGTTGCTGCTTTCGAATTTGAGGCTGGAATAGTTTTCACAGCTACTTTTTTTGGCATTTTTTGAGGTTTTAGAACTTTTCAAATGTCTTGAGATTTAAGGAAGTTACTGGCAGGAAGTGGAGGTATGCGCAAATGGAACAGTTGAGCGGTTGATGACATTCAGAATTCATTATCCCACAAACCGACTGTTTTTTTTCTTAAAATTATTTTCTTAAATTGCCTATGAAGTTAGAATCATTATTATTAGTTGATATAAACCCAACATACCCCTTCTGGATCCGCCCTTGGTTCTGGTGTTTCTGAGGAAAATATTTCGAAACCAATGTACCAGACTCCAAAACGTGCATATTTGACTTCACTCAACGATGCCGTATTTTTATAATATAAACAACTATAAAATTTTTAGAATAGCACAACACTTTTATCCCGTATATTTTAAACAAGCTATAAAAGCTCCAGACCGAAGAGATTTAGGAAACGTTATCTTATGCCAGCCTTTCACATAACATTCACGTTTAGTTTGTATGTACAATTGGAAGCCAAGGGTTGTGCACTAATTGAACATTATGCCAGTGACTGCATAAATAAATAATTATAAAGTAAATAAACGATAAATATAATATTTAGTTGATTTATTAAGCTGGAGGCGATAGCAACTAAACACATACTTGATTCTTATGCCATATAGGAGTAACTGCTGTCTGTCCGCAGTTAACAAAAATAATATATTAAGTACGACTCAAAATAATATGTTCTCCTGCAATTTAATGTAAAAGTTTAAAACTTTTTTAAATCAATGAGAATATTGGTTATTAGTAATTAACGCAATTTGCTCAATTTAAAGTTAACTTTCTAACCATTCATTATTTTAATTTAATTGACTAGTGTTTCATTGATGTGATCTAAACGAACTGATGCAACCTTGGTAGCTAACAGTAATGAAACCTACCTGAGGCTAAAGAGCTGAGAGATCCAGCAGTGCTACCTCCTCCTTCATACGCATAGTTTCGCAAATCGTCAAAGGGCGGTGCGTTTGGATCACTATCAGCTCGCTTCTTGTGGTCTTCAATGAAGGTTCCCACGTTTAGTTCTTGGCCGGGGACAAGCATGCTAACTGCAAAGATACAACATAAAATAAATTATATTATAAATACGTGAATTCCACTAAATTCTTACATGCAAGTTTGCTCGGGTCCATTTCGGGGTGAGGTCCATTAATGGGAATTTGGAGGGGTGTAATATCGAAAGCGGTCATATCATCTTCGCCACCTCCTTCATCGTCATAGTTGATAATGTTTTCTCTTACGTCATCATCCGGTCCGGGATATTTGATGTGGGCTTCTCTGCGTCGATTATAGACAACGAAAACCAAAACCAGAACTATAGAAAAAAAACTGTTATTAGTAGATGTAACAAGCGAAATCAAATTACATGCAAAAATAGTGCTTGCATATATTTACATTCAACGAATATTTTTCAAAACTATGAATTCGTAAAACATAACATTATTTTCGATGCAAATAACTAAAATGTGTTTTTAACCCGCAAATCTTGTTGCGACAAAGTTATTATTTTAAATACAACTTTACCAATATGCTCGACAACCCATTATTATATACTTTGTGTCCGAAACTTATGGTGTCAAAACTTGGAAAGTGTATGAAATATGTCAAGTACCATATTTTAGAAACTAATCCCAAGTAAGTTGCTGTCATTGCCACTTAAAATCGAGTAAAAGTTGAAACTGAGGAAAATCTGTAAGCACAAATTTAATATAACTTTGCTAACACTCCAGTATTCATAACCAGGCACTGAATTTTCTTTATGAAGAATTTAATTAGTGTCATTCAGGTTTCAGTTATCACCAATAAAAGCATCACGAAAGACTTCTTGAAAACCAGTTTGTTAGTTTGTACTTTTGTTATAATACAGGTTTATTATAATAACAGCAGGAGTACACTTTCATATCCGAGTAAGCTGGCAATAGTTCAACATTGTAATGTATTGATACATTTAAATGAACACACTTTTCTTGAGATTAAGCAGATAAACATGCAGAAGACCGAAGGCAACTCATTATTTCGCAATGTTTAATAATAGTAGTACATTTTTCAAAGGTTTTAGATCAGTTTGCTCTGTTCGGATTATTTCTAATTCGACAACTCAATTACTAATATGCTATAAATCAACAATTAGCAGAATTTGTAAAGCAGCTTTGCCATATTTACTTGTCCATTTAATGAAAAATTACAAATACTTAATTAAAGCAAAACATATATCAAAAACACAACAACTAATATTTTATCAAAAATCGAAAGCTCATTAATATATAGCTTGTCCCAAAAACACAACTTTCAAATTCGCACTGTCTCGATTGATGAGAAAATTGCGAGATGGAAATAATGGATAGATTGAATTCCCGTGCAGTGAGGTTTTCTCATTTTCAAGTCAAAGCAGATAAATTCAAAAAATGCTTTGGGCAAGCCTGACGTGAAGAGCAAATATCAGCTTCCTGAGAGTAATTATAAGCTGAGTACGAGACTTTGAAAAGCTATGCAGCTGTGGAAAATTAATTTTTGTGGTCGGAGAATATGCAGGTTGGACGGTGTAAAGCCTCTAAAGTGAAATTGGAAGAGCGACTAAAGCATCTAAAGCCAGTATTAGAAAGGCAAGATACAAGCCGGTTTAAATGTATCCGGTTGGAGACTAGGAATCAATTAGCAGAGATAAAATCGGATTGAAATGTCTTCGATGGTGGTAATACTCAAATAGCCTGGTTTCCTATTACTGTTTTGGTGTGTGCATATTGAAAGTCAGAATTTCGTTCATTAGCGGTGTATTTTTACAATTCCTTATTTAAATCGGAAATACAAACTTATAATCAAATCCAGTTCTGTAAAATTAGTTAGATTGGATCAAAATTGTTATTTAATCGATGTAATTTATTCTCTTTATAATTCAGTAATTTATGACTTCGCTTTATTCACCTTACACATTTTCGCTGACGCCCAAAAAAACAACATCCACTCTTACAGCTTGCTGCAACTTAAGCATCACAAAGCAATTTCAATTTTGAAGGCAAATCTTATACATATAAACATTGATCCTTTTTAAGACACACTTTCACAGTGATTAAATAATTAGATTTAAGCAGGATATACATATAAGGCATTTCAAATCTAAAATTTAAGTCTTGAGACTTTATGTTGTAAGAAGCAGTAACACTAATTATTTGTTAGAGCAAAGTATGATGTGCGTCATACACGGATAAATTATGAACGTCTAGTAAATTTGATTGACACGGATTTCTGTGAAATAGCTAGAAATTCTGTTCCATAAAAAAATGCTGTTATTATTATATGTTCTATTTTCCAAAGTTTCAAGTTTCACGGGTGAGAAAGTCTTCGTTTCTTACAACGCTGATGACTTTTCTTTACATAAACCCAACAATGGAATTAAAAGTGGCGCACCGTGACTGAGAAATGGAGTCGAGAGAGTGGTTTCAAAGGATGCTTATTCGCTTTAAAGTTTAAATTTAAGCAGTAAATTTACTCGTTCTGCTGTTTTGCCCTTTTTAAAAGTCTTAAAGGATGGAGTGAAACTAACTTCCATGAAGATTTACGTTCACTAGCTCCCAAAATCAGACGATATTGCAAAAACTAAGTCGTTACAGAGTCTTATGGGATTTCTGAACAACTGTTGTTGTTTTCGACTATTTCCTTTCGCAAAATGTTCTTCGGGTTAATTGCACCCTTTAAATAAGGCACGTTAGAGACATAATAAAGTGGGAAAGTTGAGATCCAATACTGACACACAAAGGCTATTTATTAAAGGTAAATTCCAAATCAATTTTGAATAACGCTTAAATAATCAACTTAATAAAGCTTAAATCGATTTTTCAAATAACAATAGGCAAATGTAAATGTTAAACTTAACTGTGTCACAGCAGTAATTTAAAAAATAAATAAATCATCAACGTAAAATCGTCGAACCAACACGTGCACTCAAATTTATATTTACAGTAATTATTACAGTCTGGATTTCTAGGCAATAGGTTTTTGGTAAATAATAAAAGCAATATGCGTTTGTTAATCAGTGGGAGCAAAATGTGCAAAACTTTGTCATTTGATAGAATATTTAATGCCTTTTTGTCTTTTTTGTGCTGATTTAAATTTTTTGGGTTTATTTGCGGCTTTTTATATGTTTGTTTTAATAAGACGAACAACATCAACGTATATAATTTGAGAATTTTTAGAGAAAGACATTACTAGGTAACAACAACATTTAGCTTACTGTAGACGAAACTATAGATGCAAGATATTTCATTTGCTCAAGAGAACTGGAAGCAACAAATAACAACACGGTTTCCAGATTTATAAATGGAACCTTAATAGACTCTTACCATCATAAACCTGTGCCATATGAAAAAATGTTGCTAACGATTTGCGATGCTGCGCCTTATATGACCCAAAGTATCCAACTAGGTGATTAAACCTTGGAAATTTTTCAAATGAAACTTATCTACCCGACAAGAATTTCATGCCGATATAGAAAATAGAGAACTGACTGAAAACAGAGACCTAAATAATATTTGTTTTAGTAAAAGTGATTTAAAGTTAGTAAGTGCAACCATAAAACATTTAGAGGATCAACAACAGCTATTGGTTGGGTCGGTTCAAAATATTAATGTTTTATATAAATCTTTAGTAAGTTATTGTTTGAAATAATAATAATTTCACTTATTTGTTTCATTTAAAACATTTGCTGAAATTATTTTTTAACTACACTGAATTTTTAATGTAGAAATCGATTTGCTTTTTAAACGTGTATATGTATTTAAACATGTATAGTGAAGGAAACTGTTCGTTTATGTGCCTTTAATTCCACTGAAAGCATCAGCATTATTTGTTATCTTTGGGTCAATATTTCCAAGGAATAATCGAATCTCTATTTGGAAAATTTACCGTAAATTTTATGCATACTTTAAGTGTTTTTATTAACAAGAGTGTGGGTGTCAACCCTATATGACGAATTTTGAGTTTAGGTATAATTAACTATTCAGTCGATAACTATTTATTGTCTAGTTGCTATCGATAAAGCTTATTCCTCACATATAATAATTATTTCTTTTATTATACGAATCACAGTAAATAATCAGTTGCATTGTTCCGGCTGATTTAAACTACTCAAAATCAGCCCAGAATATGCGATATCGCAACGCAAAACAATATAATTTTTGCAGCATTTTTGAAGCTTTTGGTGTAATAAGTTGTTTTACAAAAGCTCCATTAAATGGAATCATTTAAAACTCGCCACACAGTGTCACATTTTCGTTTTTCTTGGTTCTAAATCAAATAACTTTTGATCGAATCGATGAATTGCAGGTAATCAGGAATATTAAAAAAATGCATTAAGCAAGTCCATTTGTAGGTCAGTGAAAATTTGCGAAGTTAATAAATTTTGGAAAAAAAGAAAAGAAAAAACTTCCAGAGAACGTTTGTAAGCTAAAGCAAGTCAGGTATAATCTAATACATCGTATATTAGATTTACAAATTATAAAAACACAATAGTCATTAAGATCAAGTAAGTGTTGTTAGCTACTAGCACAATTTATCAATTTCGTACAATTTTTCCCGATCTATATATCTTTAAAACGCCTTAATTATTATTTATCCAAGATTCATGATTACCTAAGCTTCTTAAAAAATAATTTAATTTTCATTTCATATTCATTAACTAGATCCAAATTTTGATTGATTTTAAAGCAAGAAAATCGGAAATGTGGCACTGTAGGCCACTTGCAATATGTCATCTTTAGAAGCAAAATGAATAAATAACTTATGAAAATGAACATGGAAAGCGGTATGGTACTGTTGCAACTGTAGCTGCAGATGTACATCTCATATCCAAATTTATTTCATAAAATGAATTCTTATGCTTGCGATCAATCGGTTGCAATATATTCGAGTTTCTAAGTAAAAGATTTAAACAAACTTCAGTCAACTCACAGTAAATGGGGCAAGACAAAGAAGTAAAATCTAAAAAATAGGAGTTATTTATTCAAATGTCGAAAACAGTTACTAGAGCGAGTCGTGCTGTAATCGGTTTTTATGCTCCAGTGAATTTGGGAAAATTGGATTTTTTACATGCGAAATATTATCAGAGCTCCAAGGGTAATTGATAAGATATCACTGATGTATTATTGATTTATATTTTGAATAAACCTTCTGCTTCTATACATTTTGCACTGATTCCACTGAGGAAATTAAAATAGTTTTTATAACCTTTGATTGTTCACTTTAGGCAAACAAAGGGAAACAAATTTTAAATTATTTTTTGTTTCTGACAACTGAGCGTAATTTAATTTAAAAATGAAGTTC